GAAGGTCAAAATAACAATGAAGACCACTAAACCAAATAACAGAGGTAATAGTGCATCTACCCTGACTGGTATCACGACAAAGTTTACTAAGGAAGGTATAGTGTGATAACGAATTACTTTTGAACGTATAAATGCTGTTTAGACTTTCTGATTGTTTGGGCTTCCACAAACTTTAGGATACGCCCCAAACACATTTTATAGATAGGTTTAAAGACATGTACACATCAATTTTATGTCCTGTCTCTACAATATATTTCGCAATAGAGGAGCTAGGTCTCCGGTTCTCACCATTAATTGGTTCTGGAGATTCAATTTCCTTATGAAGCCATTTAGGAATATTCCCTGAAGCCCTTACTTTCAGAGATCGATAAGTAGTCTGCCCTGTACTGCTCAGTACTACTCACTCACGTGACACTTTTTGTAACCTTGAACTGACTTGTCAATTTCTCCTATCTCACATTCTACGAATCTGTTATGACTCACTAATCACCGCCATTGTCTGCCATCTCACAATATATTGTAACTGAATTCAGCCCAGACCACATTTGTCAAACAAATACGACTATTTATTTTGACACTTCATGACAACTAATCTGTTATTCTTCGTAAACATGTATCCACCGAATAACTGGCCATTATTGTAAAGATGACAAATGTTATATTTTATAATTGTAAGAACGTGAAGAGGTGAGTTTATTGAAAAGAATATTCTTCGTTCAGATTGACTTTTAATTTGTGTGATATAGGAACATTTCACACCGCTAAAACAGTTTTCATCGGCAGTATAGCGTACAACACTATGGTCGTTCTCAACCTCATGTTTCCTTCACTTTCTTGTTTGAAGTGCACAGTGTTAAGTAGAACGTCGATTAAAAGATATGCTTGCGCTGAAATATCAATCCAAAGACGTGGCACGAATAATAAACCAACAAGAAACGGAGGAAAGTAGATGCACAGCATGATGCTGTAGGGAAATTTAATGAGCCAACAGGGTTTAAATATGCCTCCAAGTTGTCAGAGTTCAGGCACATTTACCGGCAGGAAAAATTTCATGGTATTCTAACTCCACTGACTGAGAAAGAGAGCACTGTGCTAGGACTCAAGAGGTTGCTCCATTCCAATCTTGACACGATCCAGATTTGAATTATGTCTTCAATCGATACCCATCAAATAAAGAGTACTCTCTTCGCATATTGTTTATCCCGGGGATGGCCTCAAAATTAATTTTTATTTTCTAAGCTATACTACTACTGTGGAGTGTTCTACTAACAAGATTTGTCAGTAGTATATACAGTCAGATTCATAAGAAGTAGGCAAAACTGGAAACAATATTTTAAGCAAGTAGCTACAGAAGCAAGAGTGTTTATTCCTAAAATCTGAATTTAGTTTACGTTGTGGTCAGGAAATAACCTCATTAGATGACTGTTTGTCCTAAGGTTTAACCTTCAGAGAATTAACAGCCAATCAGAATAGCTTATTATCCTCTGGCTTAGCTGACTTTAAATGTGGCTAAAATGTCTAAGTAGAAAGTCTGTTACCAAGTCTTTTGTCTTCTCACGTTGCACTCTTACTTAGTGTACACAATAAATAAATGAATAAAAAGTCAATGATAAACCTATAGTTTTCAGCCTAACTGGATTTGTTTGTTTCAGTAATGCCAAGAAACCCCTCTGAACTGAGGATCAGTTATGCTACACAGCAGTTAAACAACCTTCACAGAATATATCACACTCATAGAGGATTGTATAGAAGATAGGTGGTAATCTCAGTGATGAACCATATTGGTAATAGGGAAAATTATGAATTTTATTAGAATCGAAGATAACTGAATGAGATTTTCTGTACAAAGGCGAAATCAAATTGATCTGAAAGGCCGGAATCATCTGTAAAAGAAGTCATTTATTTTCCAGACGACGTGCATACCACCAGTATGCCGACAACTCATTCATGAATTGTATGAAAGTGTTTGAATAATGTTGCGGTTGTGTGCATGTGATATTTCAAGCTGGCGAATCGGGGAGTTGGTGGGTGGGGTATTTTCAAACTTTCATATGGCAAGCCATTCATAGATGTGTTGAAGTGTGTCAAGTCTATGCCTGGACCAGTTGTAAGCCACCCTAGAAGTGTCCGCACTGAGAACTGTCAAATCAATAGAGAAATTAAGACAGATATAAGAATAAAACTTGTGCACTGTGGTAGAGTGTAATCCCATTATGGGTAAATTTTGTTTTGATAAAGTCTCACAGTTTTATACAGTAATGTTCACTGATGACGTTTCGAGCACAATTTATTGCTCATAATCATACCAAGGTAATCACACGACTTCCTAAATTCATTTATATAGTTCCATTGTTTTTCACTTGATTTTCACTTGATTTGATTGGTAGTAATATTTTCCAAATTTCGGGTATGAGTGATGAATCATTCCTATTGCATGTGTTGGGTGTAGATTCGATGAACAAGGATTCAGTAATCAACCTCCCTCTCCACCTATCTAGATTACTTTTTAGAATTTTAACCTTCTCCCACCCTACTGTGTGGTTGTGTGTTAATGCACACATTGAAATTGCTGGGCTTTTTTCTAAATTACTTATCTTCTCTGGCTCAACCATTCTTCCCTTAGCTTAATTCTTATATTATGACAATCTGACTACCCCCGATCTACTAGTTTAACCTATGTAGTTGACCTCACTCACAGTCATTGCAGGGTATTTTGTAAATGATATTATTTTGTCTAATTGGGTCCACTGGGTCCTTTAACCTACATAGCTTGTCCTATCTGAGTGAGTTTGTAGGTTTGAATGCCACCCTAATTCCTGCTTTATTGTGAATCCTACGTAGGGTCTCAGGTGTCCCCTCCTTATATGGTATAACTGTAGATGACTTATATTCTCTCTTATTTAAGTTATCACTACTAGCTTCACAATTATTTTTCTTTTTCTTTTGGCCTTTTTCAATCTTCCTAATGAATTTTAAAGCATAGTTTGGTTTCGCTAGCCTCACGTCCAACCTTCCCTCTTTAGCGGCCCCACTACTGGCTAAGCGATGTGAAGGAGTGTGTCGGTCAGGGATCGAATCCCGAACTGTTTGCAATATTGGCAAGCATCCTACCGTTGAATCATCTAAGCATAGTTCTACAGTTATATATTACCTCATATTTAAAGAGTAATTGTTGCTGACGACAGTGATCAAGATTAGATTATAATTACAATTGAATGTAACACTAAACTGAATCTCTTATGAATTAAGTATGTGCGTCGGTGGCACGTGCGTTGGTGGCACAGTGGTCAGGACTCTCGCCGACCATGCACATGGTCCGGGATTCGATCCCCTGCCGACGCACACCCGATATCTATGGTCGGCCTGCAAAATTTGGGCTACCGATATCCATGCTGAAAATTCCATACTTGTACTGAAAATACGGTGTGGCATCAAGCTGTAATCAAAATAAAAAGATAAATAAATAAAAAAATAATACCAAATTTATGAATTTAAAGGTTTAACATCAGGTCAGAGTAGTAGTATTGGCCGAACTTGTTTCTTTTACACTTAGCGCGTTGCAATGGCTTCTGTCGTTTAGAGTAAATAATATTAACAGCTCAATATTGCATCTCCTGTTTGAAACAGGCAATAAGGCCAGTACGGAAGAATCGTTTTCTCTTATCTATCAAGTTTCAGTGGGTCGGTGGCACAGTGGTAGAATGTTCGCCAACCACGCGTGTGGTCCGGGGTTCTATCCCCGGCCACTGACTCACTCCTTTAACTAGCTAGCTAATCCAGTAATAAAAATAAAGCTGGTAAAGGGGAAAAGGTGGAGCATGCGGCTAGCAACCCTATCCTGTAAAAATAAACACCACTGCTACAGAAACTTCAGGCCTCTAGCTTGAAGGTGCCCTATGCTCTACTGGGAACGTGAAGGAATGAAAAAAATCAAGTTTCAGATAAACTAACAAAGGCCTCTAGTTGCTGAATACTTCAAACAGTAGAGGTCATTGCAGTTCACCTAAGACAGCTGGAACTCTGCATGCAAAGGAAGCAGGTTCCGCTAATATTGCTACCTTGGATAACCCTGGAACTTATAAGTTCTGTATTTACCTGATGTTCAGTTTATTGTTAGAGTGATGCATATTGTTACTCACAGAAGTTTTCGAACTGGAATCTATCGATATTATTGATTAAGAGTTTTTGTTTCTGAAAACATTAGGGATCTCAGCAACAGTGATGTAGACACATGTAACTGTAGAACCTGATGAGAGAGTTACCAAAAGGAATATCCTTTGATTGGACACTAGTCAGTAACTAGTGTAGTGTGTCTAGTCCCCTGTTTAGTGCAGACTGAATTCTATCAGTCAAGTTTGCAATGTGGCCAGTATTCTAGTCGGCTTGCCATCACGGTACACTCTGAAAACACTGTTTGTTCACTATTGGTCACTCTTTTGATGCGCCAAATAAGTCCTTTCTATATCAAAATCCAGCCGCTAAAGTTGGTGTGTATCTTCTTATGTCAACTTGAGGGTTGACAGGTGATGACTGGTGGTGTTTGACGACTAATGGACAGACAACTTTTTTATTCCTTTACGTTCCAAGTGTAATATAAGGCTCCAAGCTAGAGGCTTGAATTTTCGGTAGCAGTGGTGTTTAACTTTACGAGATGAGGTTGCTAGCCAGCCTCATGCCTAACCTTCCCCCTTTATCAGTCTTATTACTGGCTTAGTGAGGTAAGGCAGTACGTCAATGGCCAGGGATCGAATCCCCGACGACTATGGACAGACAACTGCGCATCAAATATTTACTTGACAGTGAACTGGTGACCTATTCAGAAGTCGGCTCTTGTAATTCAATTTGTAGAGTGCTGTGCTAGTAATTCCCCGGCTGTAGCTTAGGATCTTGAAGCTAACTAGATGCTTATTTCACCTTCAATTATTAACTATTACACGTACATATATATATATAAAGTATCGATTTAATTTATTGATTTTTTTGTTTAAATAAAATTACAGAAAATCATCGCCAAATGCATTCCACTGTGCGTACAGTCTTTAGGGTTTTAAACATTATATGTTTAGTAAGTGATAAAGTATTTTATTCTTAAGAAAAAATCAATATTTATTCTTGCTTTTGCTTTGCATTTTCGTTGCATAATTTTCCATGTTTATGAACTTTTCGAATTAATTGAATTTCAAATAATGATAATAATAATAATCTTGTCAAATAAACAACAGATAGCTGATATTGAAACCGTTGAACGATGCGTTTGTTTAAATTCGCTTAGATCAGTTTAACATACACACACATAAGGTTGTAACTGTTCTTTATTTTGATCTTAAGTGGCAATTGGTGACTAGAAATGTTTCGTCCGATTTGCGATTCATCATCTGGACAATGAAGTGAAGATCTAGGCGATGGATGGATTTAGACATATGGTTTATGGATTAGTGTATCTACGTTACACCAGTTAGCTACTAGTCTTTCGGACTTGACTGCTAATGGGGTCATCAGACCACCACAGTTAATGTCAAGCTGCCATGTAATGGTATCACTGTCCATTGAATATAATTACACCAGCTAACCCATCTAGATCTTCCTTCTGCAAATCCAAGGCTACCACAAAGATAATCTAATTTCTTTTTGTAAAAATTAATAAATTGAGTTTACAAACAAGTTAAATATGTATCATAGACGGGCACACTCAACCATTTCACTGTTTGTCTTCATTAAACCGCGAATCGGTGATGACCGGTGGCGACAAGAAAGTAGATTAAACACTGTGTTGGCAGTATCCGTTTACCTTCCCAGTGGAAAATAGGGCGCCTTCAAGTTAGAGGCTTGTAGTGTCGCTGGCAGTGGTGTTTATTTTTACGGGATGAGGTTGCTAGCCATCCTCATGACCAGCTTTCATCGCACTACTAGGCAACATCTTCAGCGCATGCTTCAATTCGATGAAGTGAGCTTTTAGATTTCTCCACGAGTTTATTAATCATCTCTCCAGGTCGGCGATCTTGGATGTGATTGGTTGTTTTTGTGTGTTTTCACACATCCTCTAGGTTATTTGTATTGGAACTGATTGTTTCTTTGACTTTATCTTTGACCCTTTATGCATTAGGTTTCTTTCTTATCGGTTGATAAATTTTTTCTATCTCGACGTGTCTATTGATTGATGATTAACTAGAGTACCAGGTCTCTAAAAATTCTCTAGCATTCTTGTTGTTTCCTTTGTCTGATATTTGAACATTGTCTCAATCGAACTGATGTCCGTGGTTGTTTGTATGTAGTGATATGAGGGAGTGGATATTATGTCTTCTGGGAGCCAGTTTATGTTCATGGATACGAAGACGAAGAGGGTGATGTCCCTTTTAGGCAATGTAGTGTTTTTCGCAGTCGTAGCAATTTATTTTGTAGATGATGTTGATTTTATCTTCTTTCGCTGTTGAGTCTTTTGGTTGACACAGAAAAAGAAAGCAAAGAAACAATCAGTTCCAATACAAGCAACCTAGAAGATGTGAAAACACACAAAAAGAACCAACCACGTCCAAGGTCACCGACCTGGAGAGATGATTAATAAACTCGTGGAGAAATCTAAAAGCTCACTTCATCGAATTGAAGTATGCGCTGAAGATGTTGCCTAATAGGTGGCAATGAAAGCTTCGCAAATAAACCATCCACCTACTCAGAGAACACAACCACATCAAAATCATCCACCTGAGCTACAAATCTTCTCTATCATATCCTCATGACCAACTTTCCCTCTTTAACAGTCTTATTACTGGCTTAGTGAGTGAGGTAAAGGAGTGAGTCAGAGAAAAGTCTCTTTTCCATGAGTTCATTACCAGGCTGTAAAAAAGTGTACATATATGATTATTTTTGAAAAATAATAATGGGAATTCGGACAAAAAGTAATTGTGATTGTTATATTTTCTTCATGAATCAACATTAGTTAGATAGATCATTGAAAACCAGGGGGCACTGGACAGCTGTTTCGTCCTATTTTCAAAACTCTACATCAGTGCATAACCATAACCTCACTGGGGATACACTCGTTGGCTTGCAGGTTACGAGACCAACCAACCCTGAATTCCAACTTTGCCAACTCATTATATAACAGTGACCCTGCTTTGACAATGATGGACCTGACTGGTGATGACTTCCCTCTACAGCTTCATGAAATTGATTCAGTAGACATCAGTGAGTTGGCGATTGATATTCACATCACAGGTTGGTTCGTAACAAGAACGCAACAGTTGAAATCTAGTCAAAATCCTCACAAATTCAGTGACCTGAAAGAATATTCTGCTATGTACTTTGTAAATTAGCTCATGAAATTTAGAAATCTCAAAGGGGTGTGTCCCTGTCTACAGCGTCTTGCTTAAATCACTCGGCTACCAGTACTCCCATTCATTAAAATGCTCAAGCTCTTCTGCACTTCTTATTGTTTTAATCGTGCAATTATATCAGGTAACCTTCATATGAATTCGCGCGCATATTTAATTAGCTTTCAATAAATAAAACACTGTTCATTTCCTGAAGGAAATGAGGGAAATATGTAGAGAATTGGTAATCTCTTCATATGCAATACCACGTGATACGCTTCAGATACGCTTCTGTGCTATACGCCCGCATATCGTCTCAAATAAAGCTTTATAATAATAGTAATAGTAATAATGTACTATTGCTGAGTCTCAAGTTCATTGGAAGCCAAAATCAGCAATACTCCTCATCAGATAACCTATCCACTTTTTCAATATGCTGCTACAGTGACGGGTTAATCAACAGAAACATCGATGTGGTCACTGCTGAAAAATGCATAAAGCGTGTCTGTCTGGCAACTATTCCAGGCAAAGTTCTACAATAGAGTCCCAAGGAACGAACGCACGTGTGACCTTGAACCGACAAATCAGAAAAAAGGATGATTTTTGCATAAAATTGTACGTATTTTTACATAAATAAGCATGAAAAAAGTCAAACAGGGTACTTTCCTCTAATATGAGATTAAAAAATGTTCCGATTATTAAGAGGAGTTTCAGTTTTTAAATTAAACCAATTTCTATACATATATTCATTCAAATGACCGAAAAAAACTTCGTTTTGTGATCCGTTGATAGCTCAGATTCTATTTTTCAGTCTTCCCCAGAAACCTTCGATGGAATTATTATGAGTACCGGTGACAGGGTCGACGGAATCATTCGAATGGTTCACTCTATGATGTATATATCCCAATTGGGACAATTGGCTATATCCCGCCCATTCATGTGTGAATGGTGGTGCCTGGTAACACTAGACGCTGAATAATAGGGAGGAGTGTATCAGAACTCCTATCTAGAATCAGCTGCATAAACCCTTTGCGAATCTAGGTGTCATAAATTCCCAAAACCCAAACGTTATTCGCTCTGGCACCCAGTAATTGGACAGAAACAAGATATTCAGGCAAAGTTAAACTTTCGACACCAATAACAACCAATCATCAAAGACAGTTTCAACTTTTCAAAGAAAGTTCCTAGAAGACAATTAATTCAGTGTCACTTACCAGTATGCACAATTATTCGCGCTAGAATAATGGTGAGCTTCCTCAACCAATGACTAGCATGCGTTCAGGGTCATTGGAACATTCACAAGGTCATTGGAACATTTACAATCCTGGGACTCTATTGTTGAACTTCGCCCTATTCCATTCCACAACGAAACCAATATGAGCCATTTAAAGTAATTCAATAGAAAGAAGAACATTTATGGCATAATATGACGTCATTTTGTGTGATTGATTGAATTTCCATTCGCTGAATCTGAATGATCTCCAACAGTAAATCAGTAAATCAATAAATTCAAGTATTGGTTTGTAGGGATTTGATTGATTGGTTACAGGATTTCATCATGAGCTGACAGTGGTTAGAGAACCATTGGAAAACAACCTGGGAGTACTGACGGACAGCTGTTTCGTCCTAGTTTGGGACTCTTCATCAGTATGCACCCACTGGGGCTCGAACCCAGGACCTTCCGAGTACAATATCAGCTCATGATGAAATCCTGTAACAAATCAATAAATAATTGACGTTTACTAATAAAGATGCGTATCGATCTTTTTGACGTCTGTAATATCTTTGTTTCAGTCGGGCAGATGTATACAGAATAGGAGCTTATAATGAAATTCGTGGAAAAATACTGCAACTCAGTGGTGTTATGACTGTTTGTCTGTATAGGTATGGTGCGGCCGACTGATTTCTTTCATCGATAAGAGAATTAAATTGAACTGGACACTGAGTGACCTATCTTTCAGAATGGTTAGTGTTTGGTGAAATGACGTCACTATATTTCGTTTGATCCTGTCAGCTGCATACAAGCATCAATAGTTTAATCTCAATATAGTACAAAATATTCACATATTCTGTCTATTGATCATAAATTAGGAGGATATCAATATCACGTGATTATATGGCATAATGGAAAGGAACATGGATTTTTTGTCTGATGGACATACCACAAACCAGATAGATTTCATCTCAATACTACTCAAGGAAGTGTAGGCGCAGCCAGTCTGCTGGACACAAAGTCGAGAAGGGGAACGGACTTGGATCGAGACCATTATCTAGTTTAAAGAACCCTGAAAACAACTGGAGACAGGCCACTGTAGTTCAAGTTCAACATTCATAAACTAAAGGACAAGACTAAAAAGAAAAGTACTGGTTTTTTTGTAGGGATTTTATTTGATTGGTTGGAGGATTTCTTCATGAGCTGACATCATTTGGAGAACCATTGGAAAACCTGGTAGTACTGGACAGCTGTCTTGTCAGTCTAGTCGGGAACTCCTCATCAGTTAGCATCCAACACTTGGGTTAGGACCCAGGACCTTTTGTGTTGCTCACCAGTAACTGGTCCTATTTTTAGGCAGTTACCTGAGGTCCTAGTGAGAAGCCGTGACCAGTAGGGTACAGAAGTTTAAAGGTGCGGAAGCAACTCCTCGAAGAGGACATAACCAAGTGGTCGCACTATGTAGTAAATTGTCAGAAGTTAGAATTCGTGGGCTGGTCATTGGATGGGGTCCCAGTGGCTTGAGGGTCCACGAGCTAAATCAAC